CTATGGTGTATAATGATGTGATTGTGATGCTGTAATTCTGAGTGTTTTATGTGCTGCAGAACAGGAACCTGCTGTAAAACAGCAATTATGCTGAGCCAGGCTTGATTTTTAATAATCTTTTCCTGTTAAATAAATCAAATCAAATCAAATCAACTTCAAATGCCATTTGAAAAACCACCACCCAGAAGGTCACAAAGAATGGCAGGAACCTAACGGTGCTAAAAGTAGCCAACAGGCAAAAACAAAAGTAGATGGAGCAGCAGCCGCTGGGACCTTAATGAAGCAGGCTTTCGAGCAAACCAGGAAATTCTCCAAAGACAGCCCAAAAGCCAGGTCAATAACAACCAAAATAATGGAAATGATCGCTCTCGACGACCAGCCGTTGTCCATAGTGGAGGACCGAGGATTTCAGCGACTGATAAAGGACATTGAACCCCGTTACAGTCTTCCAAGTTGGCGCTACTTTTCAGATGTTTCTCTCCCTGCTTTGCACAAAGTGGTGGTCACTCAGGTCCACCAGTTGTTGGACAAAGTGACGGACATTAGCTTCACTACGGATATATGGAGTTCAGATGTAAGTCAGATGAGTATGTTAAGCGTTACAGCTCAGTGGATGGATGACAACTTTGTAATGAAAAGAGCCATTGTTCATGCTAAAGAGTTTTCAGTCTCACATACTGGGGCTGCTATCGCTAGTGCATTTGACTGCATGTTTACTCAGTGGAAGATTAAGAAGGAAAACGTGCACGTTGTGCTTCGTGATGCCCAGAATATGATGAAAGCGATGAACGAGTTTGGTGCTAAAAGCCTTGGCTGCATGGCTCATACACTGCAGCTAGCAGTACATGATGGCTTGTTAAGCCAACGAAGCATTTCTGACTGTGTTGTGTAGTGATTTCTTGCATATAATTATCAGTTCTAACTATATTTCTTAACTTGTTCCTATGACTACTTGGAGAAAGGAAGAAAAATCCCCACTTTTTACTTCAGATTATATTTAAGGATTTTGCATGGAACTTCTTTTGTGGCTTGAATTAACATCTCTCACACCTTCCCCCACTAGACTTTGCGACGATGCCCCAGTAGTCAAACTGAAAGAATTTGCATTCTGATATGTCCCTGTTGCTTCCATCCCCCATAAGCACAAGACTGTTGGTTCCTCTTCAAAGGGATCATAAATGCCTTTAACCAYACTCTTCAGTGACTGAGAACAAAGGACCTACATTCTTCATTAAATGTGAAAAAAGGAGAAAACATAAAAAATCTGTGTATCTAATGTTTTCTGTCTTATTGCAAAGAATGTCATCTAATCCATTTTTCTTACAGAAAAGAACTAAAAAGACCATACAGGATCTACTAAGTTTTGCTTATTTAACTACAGGATTCAATAGCTGTGTGTATTGTGGTGTTAATTGTTTTGATGAAATGTTTTCCTGAAGAAGATGTGTGTTTTAATTCCATGATTTAATCCTTATAAACTTAGGACTTGAGTTTTTAATTAAAAGTGTGATACTCTTATTTTACTGAGGCAAGCAGATGTCTCTCCCTTTAATTAGATGCGAGATAATCAAACTAAAACCCTCCTTGTTTATTTTCAAAGTAAACCTTTACCTCCAACAGACTCGCTGAGATCTTTTCCTGTATAAGGCGTAACATTTTTATTGGCCAACTAAACCTTGACTCCGCCCAAAACAGAGGTTTTAAAAGTTAGTGCAGCTCCCGAGACCGACAGAGTTTTTGAGAGTTTTTCAACATCAGAAGTCAGAAACAGCTTTTCAGAAGTTTCAGCGGAGACCGGCCCTGTCAGCCCCTCCCATGGCTAACCAGGTTACGGGCTCTGCATATCCCGCTGGGTTGAACAAAAAGCCAATGTTTAATATCAACTCAAATCTGAGTTTGATTTTATAGAAGTTAAATAAGCTAATTGTAATTCATGCGTCGTTTTTAGTTCATTTTCTCTACAAAGTATAAATCAAATTGAGAAGTCTTGCAGCTGCCTGGGGAGGACCGGACCACGTTGTCACCAGGGAGTGACCCCCTTCTCTGACCACGGGACCAGTCGAGTTTTACAGGCAGACCGCCTGACATCCCGCTTGTATGGAGAGCCTACCTGGGAGACGACCCCCAGAGATGACCTTCAGTCGCTGACTTCCCTTCTGGTACCCACACGGCGGAGCAAAAGGGTAAAAGTGAACATTTGTCCTGGTGACAAACAGGTGCTCAGACGTAATTTGATTCCTATCTTTGTATGAGATTTGGTAAACTAAACGATTTTTCTCCCTAATTTAACTAGGACCCCCTTAGTTAAAAAACCAGCTAAAAGTAAAACTCACCTCACTTCACTCCAAGCCTCAAAACTCACCTCTCAGTGTTTATTTTGTTTGTTTGTTTGTTTGTTTGTTTGTTTGTTTGTTTGTTTGTTTGTTATTCACTTGTGATCGCAAACTCTTTCAGTTTTACATGGTTCAATTACTGTATGTCATCATCCCTTACTCACCATAGTTGTAAATACATTTAATCTGTAAATAAATGGCCCGTGGAGAATGTGCCAACATAAGCTAATGTCACTTTTGTGTCTTGATAAAGTATTATTGGTTCTGATAAGACAAGGACTCATCAAGCCATTTTGGGTACATTTATTGTGAGAATGATTACAATAAAGTCACAGGTTTTCGTCTCTTTCCTGGGTTAATCCTTGACCAAATTAAGAGTGTGGTGCCTCGAGGTCAGATAATTTGCGTAATTAAATAATTCACAAATTATCCATTTTAGAATATACCCAAAACCCCTACAGTTGCTATTGGAAGGAAAATCGTCGGACATTTTCGCCACTCTCAACTTGCCACTTCTCGGCTGAAAGACATACAGCAAGAGTTAGGCWTGACAACCAAGATGCTACAATAAGATGTCATGACCAGATGGAATAGCACGCTGTATATGATGAAAAGTTTACTGGATCAGAAGCYTGCACTGGGTGTGTATGGAGCAGATCATGAGCTGCCTGCCTGTTTAACTGCACATCAGTGGGGCCTCACTGAAAACATGACCATGCTTCTCACTCCATTTGAACAGTTAAAGGAGATAAGCTCACATTTTGGCACATTTTAAAATTTGGTTGGTTTATAGCAAAGTTATTGTCAGTTAAGCTTCCTGCCCCCTTAATTTTGATGGTCACAATGAAAAAGGGGTGTGGTCACAAAGTGGTCCCTGGGGGGCAGTGAGACCCAACTTTTTTTTTCTATTAATGTTAATAGAAAAAAAAGTTGGGTCTCACTGCTTTTTTTGAAAGAATGGACCCTAGGGTACATGAAAATACATGAGAAGTTCAGTAGTGGGGTGATCCACCCTAATCTACAGACAAAAAACATGAACATTTTCATCTTCTGTTGGGATTGTGACATTTGGACTCCCTGATGACACCATCAAGTGCATATTTGTTAATGAAATGTCAGGTAAATCGAAGAACTAATCAGTACGAATCTAATATAACTTGTTTGTAAAATTTATTTGGTTTATAGCAAAGTTATTAGCATTTAAGTTTTCTGTACCCCTAATTTTGATGGTCACAATGGAAAAGGGGTGTGGTCAAAAAAGGGTCCCTGGGGGGCAGTGAGACCCAATTTTTTTTCTGTTAACATGCATTTTCTGAAAGATTGGACCCTAGGGTACATGAAAATACCAGAGATGCTTAGTAGAGGGGTTGGGGGAGTGCACGGTGAGCCACCCTAGCCCATTGACTATTAATGATAATGTCACCAGATAAAATCATGACAGGGTTTTTTTTTATAGTACTATAGTTTCAAAAACACCAATGAGTGTCATTTATTTGCCCAAATAATTTCAACCCACAGACTTCAGGATGAAGGACTTATTATGCCTTGGATAGGTAATTTTTTGCTCAGTTACATTTAGTCAGTATGTGAAGAGTGTGTGTTACCTGACTTGGTGTTTCACTGAAGAAAGTATCCATTTTACTTTCTAACAGCTGACTGAGACTTCTTGCAGGTAGAGTAGAAGGATGTCCACTGTGTACAGGGATAGTTTTCAGTTGAGGAGAAGAGTCTGCCCTGCAATCAGAGTTGTCCATTTGAAGCCTGACTTCTGTGTCAATATAAGGAGACGGGCTGTAGTTCTGTGGACTCCTGTGGATGTCTGAGTCTGTATTCTCCCTATCGTTTAGACTGAAATATGAATGTGATATGACACCAAACTTGCGTGTGCGTTTGCCATTTGACAAGCACGCCTCTGAGGGACTTCTGTCTTGCTCCTTATAAGGCCGATCCTCATAGTTGTCATTGTCGATAAGAAAACTGGCATCTTTATGGACATCACATGGAGGCAGAGGAGCTTTTCTTTTGACTCGACGCAACAGGATCAAATAAATGCATCCTCCATTCCAGCACTGGTCAACCAAGTAACTGTAAAATACATGTAAAATATTACATTCAGGCAAATCTCAAACTTGAAGTTATTTCCAACACATTCCTGCACAGACTTTTTTACTTAATAAGCTCCCACTTCTGAAGCCCATCTTCTTCAAAGGTGGGCGTGTTGCATATTCAGAATAGGGTTGGGCAATACAGTATTGGCAAAAAAATTAATCATGATTAATTATGGTATTTAGCTGATAACGATTAATTTGATGATTAATGCCCTGGAGTTCCTGGACAACCTTATGTCCTGGTCACATGACCAATTTAGTGGGAAAGATTTGCGCTTCGTAAAAATCTGTTCCAAATTGTGTCAAAATTACAGACTTTAGGCTATACATCAAATTATAAATTGTGTTGATAGATAAATAAATTACAGGACTTTTTTACGTTCATCATATCTGAAGCAGAGAGGAGCAGCGAGTGGATTCTGCCTGGTGGCATTAAGCGTATTAATCGTCAAGTGCCAAAAAGTAATCGATTAATGTTTTTCTGACGATTAATTGCACAGGATACGATTATGCCCAACCCTAGTTCAGAAATAGCATTCTGCAGACCTTGGATGGAAAAAGTGGTTATTTGTGCGACTGTTGCCTATATTATATCTAATCAGTCTGCCATTTCTCCTTTGGCCTATGATATCAACATCGCATTATTTTCCATTTATGTTCGCCTTTGTCTCAGAGATGTAAACAGCATCATTTGAGTTACTGTGAGAGCGAGGTGTCTTATTCAAAGAGGCAATTACCCATGATGCCTAGAGACCCCATAAGTAGGCTCCCTAGCCTGGCCTCCTTCACTTTTCGTTTGAGAGACGAGAGCGAGAGATAAGTATTGTTGTCATGGCACCACGCAGTGGTGGATTTGATATGTGATTGAGACGCTGTCTCTTTCTTTTATAGTGACGTTTGGTGGCGATTCATTGATATTGGTGGAGACATAGTCTCGACATGAGTGATGATGAGTGTGAAGCCGGCTCATCTCGGACTCGAGCGGACGTGCTTGGTCTGTTTGGATCAGATTCGGACAATGGAGATAGTTTTCGGAGCTTTTCGCCTTTTCGAACTCAGAGTGAGTGTACTCTTGGGTCTGGTCAGATTGACCAACAGAAGCGTCAGGCTTCCAGTGGTCCGCAACCTGTGGCACAGGCAAAGAAAGCTAAGCTAAGTCTTGGTAAAAGAGGGAGCCGTGTTAGCTCCGAACTACTTCCGGCGACGGCAGCCGGTTCGGCACAACAGTGATGTTGTTAACGTGCAACACAAGGCTGATCTGAATATAAGTGAGTTGAAATCACAGCTTGGACTTAATCAGCTTATGTCTCAGCTCTCGTCGTTGACGAGCGAGGTTGCTACTTTGGCACAAAATTCTCAGACTAATGGTTCTGTTAGAGGACCTGTGACCAGGGAGTTTAATACAGAGGATTTGTCTAGTTTAATTGATCCAGCCTATAATGATGATAGCTGGGAGGTGCCAGACACTGCAAGTGCAGATGAGCAGGATGGCTCTCAGGCTCCATCTTATTTTGATCCCTCAGCGTTTGCTGAGAATCTGGATGGAGATCCAGAGGAGGTGTGGAGTGTTCCACAGGCTGACTCAGAGGTGAAAACTGGACCTGCTATAGCTAATAATTTAGCCTCTATTGTGGATTTGGGATGTATAAAAAGAATAAGTGAGGACTCGGTGAAGAGTCTTACTGATAAATACCTTGGTCCCAATAATTGCAATTTTCTTTTGGCACCCAAAGTTAATGAGGAAATTTGGACGCAGCTGCATAAAAGGGTCCAGCAGTCTGATTTGGGTTTTCAGAAACTACAGCAGACGTTGGACGCTGGGATGGTTCCTGTACAGCATTTGGCCTCATTCATGGCTTATCTGCCGGTGACGCAGAAAGTTCAGTGCAAGATGTTGTTGTCTGATGCTATTAGCCTGTTAGGGCATACTATGCACTCATTGTCGGTGAGAGAACGCTATTTAATCTGGCCAAGATTACAAGGAAAATGCACCTCTTTGTGTTCCATTGACATGCCAATTTCAGCTAAATTGTTTGGTGATAACTTGGTCAAGCGGATCAAAGAGATAAATGAACTGGCTAAGATGTCTATTGGTTATCCTCACATGGGCGTTCCTGGGAGGTACAACAACAGCAAGTATAATGCTTTCCAGACTGTTAGAGGAAGCGTGAGAGGCCGGCGCTGGATTTGGCGGGGACCGTACTCCCGACGAGGATCTCAGAGAGGAGCCTACACCAGCTTCAAGACGGGAGACACCATGGATCAGAGGGGACAGGCTGGCAAACCCCCTGAGCGTGATTGACAAACAGGTCAGTGGACCACACACGTGACTGCTGGTAAACTAGCCTATTGCATAAGAGGATGGGAAAGCATTACAGCAGATCAGTGGGTTTTGAGCTCTGTTTTGGGCTAAAAAATAGACTTTGTCACTGAACTACTTCAGCTGACAATACCATCAGTAATTCAGTTTTCAGAGTATGAGTCAGATCTGCTTGATCTGGAGATTCAGAACATGATAGCTAAAGGTGCTGTTAGGATAGTGGAACCTGTTTCAGGCCAGTTCATCTCTAATATTTTTGTTCGACTAAAAAAGAATGGTAAATTCAGACCTGTTCTAAATCTGAAGGGGATGAATAAATTTGTTAGATACAGCGGGTAAAATAAGTATTAAACACGTCATCATTTTTCTCAGTAAATATATTACTAGAGGTGCTAATGACGTGAAATTTTCACCAGATGTCGGTAACAACCCAAATGATCCATACATACAAAGAAATCAAACCATAAATGTCCAGAAATGAAGTTATTTGTAATAATGTGGAATGACACAGGGAAAAAAGTATTGAACACGCTTACTGAAATTAATCTAATACTTTGTACAAAAGCCTTTGTTGGCAATGACAGCTTCAAGACACCTCCGGAATGGAGGTGTGATTTTGGCCCATTCTTCCACACAAACAGTCTTCAAATCTTGAAGGTTTCGTGGACCTCTTCTATGAACTCTGATCTTTAGTTCTTTCCATAGATTTTCTATTGGATTCAGAACAGGTGATTGGCTGGGCCATTCCAGCAGCTTTAGTTTCTTTCTCTGAAACCAACTTAGAGTTTCCTTGGCTTTGTGTTTGGGGTCATTG